TCGACTCCCTTTTGGTTACTCCTTCGTAAGTAGTTAGTTTTTATCGACTCAAAAGTCTTTTTTTAAGTAATCTTTGTTTTAATTAATCTTGGGTTGAGGTTAAAAATGATTATCAAGATTTTTGGGGTTATTAATGTAGGGGTTACTCCAATTGTTTAACTTAATAACAATTTTAATTTTAAATCAATAATTTTTTTATTAATATTTCTTGGGAAATTAATTATTTTTTAGTTTGGTTAAAATTGAGGTTGGCACTCCTTCCTTTCATTACGATTTTTTGACAGAAACGGTTCTTTTTCGCGTTTTAATTAATTTCTCATCAATTTTATAATAATTAAGTGTTTAATTGTGGTTAATCGTCAAAAATCGATTCCCTTTTGGTTCCTCCTTCGTAAGTAGTTAGTTTTTATCGACTCAAAAGTCTTTTTTTAAGTAATCTTTGTTTTAATTAATCTTGGGTTGAGGTTAAAAATGATTATCAAGATTTTTGGGTTTATTAATGTAGGGATTACTCCAATTGTTTAACTTAATAACAATTTTAATTTTAAATCAATAATTTTTTTATTAATATTTCTTGGGAAATTAATTAGTTTTTAGTTTGGATAAAATTGAGGTTGGCACCCCTTCCTTTCATTACGATTTTTTGACAGAAACGGTTCTTTTTCGCGTTTTAATTAATTTCTCATCAAGTTTACAATAATTAAGTGTTTAATTGTGGTTAATCGTCAAAAATCGACTCCCTTTTGGTTACTCCTTCGTAAGTAGTTAGTTTTTATCGACTCAAAATTCTAGTTTGAGTTTCTAAGTGTGTTAATAAATTTTTAAAACCTTATTCACGAAGAATAGACATTTTATTTGTTATCCGGCTGCGTTTCGATTAACCCACTACCTGTTATTATCCATATTATCGTTTCAAACCGCAACGGAGCCGTTCGAAAGTTGCGTTTCACGCGCAATTTCCGATTAAAACACTCGGGGCACCTTTTGTAAAGAACTGAAAAGTTAGTGGGGGATCAAAATAAGAAATAAACGGGTCGAGTTCAGTTTTCTAATGGTAATGGTTCGTCGGCGATCAATCACACACGAGGCGCTAATTACGAACCTTGTAATTGCGGGCGAATGACTACCGACGAAGAGACGGCGCCCCACGAGAGCGTCGTTATTAGACGGTAATTCGACGAATTACGTTCGGGATATGTACGATTGTGGGTACCAGTAATAACGAATGTAAAGCTAACTACGAACTCGATACCTATCAATTCGAATTTTTAATTGATCCCCTACTAAAAAAGATTTTTAAATTTAATTTTTCTTTTTATTTTAGTGATGATGAATCAAAATTAAAGCAATCAAAGAAAAGGAAGAATTTGAGTGTTTCAACGTCCGAATATTCAAGCGGATTGGAATCGTTGAAAAAGAAAAGTAAAATGAATTAAAATTAAAAATAAATTTATTTGTTTCTTCTTCTTCCACCTGTTTCTTTGTGGTTAATCGTTCGTTTAAACCCAGATCCTAATTAGCTTAATTCTGTTAATTACCAAAAGCCGCCTTAAGGAGGAAGATCATTAAGGGCCGCGGCAATTAAACACTAATTATTACCGAAGAAGAAGTAATATCAAGGAGAAGAAAGAGGTAGTACCGATTTTGAAATAAAAAATAAATAAGAAAGAATGAAAGAGGGGGGTTCCTTCTTGGGAGTGATAGGGGTGTTGCGAGAGCAGGATTGGACATTAATAGTTAATAATGAGGGCGTAATTATGGCGCGGTCCATCAATCAAACCGGTTGTCACTCGATCATAGCCCAGGAGCCCATTTGCGGGGTCCACAATAGGGAGCTACATGGACCTCTTTTTTCCTCCCTTCTTGTTGTTTTTATTTCAATCAAAAAGAATTCGAATAAATTTTTAAATCTAGTAATATGATTTCTAATATTTCTTATCAAAAATGGATTTAATTTAGGTGTTTTTGTATTGTTACGCGAGTCGACAGTAATTAATTGCATGGAAGGCAATCGGGGTGCCGAAGCGGGGCCACGGCCCCCAATGGGGGCCTAATAGCCCACTGCTCCCGCTCGGCAGACCACAAAGGGGTTCCGCGACACTCCAAACATCATTAGTTATGTATTGTCTAAACTAATCTGGCGGAACCGCGCCCACGAAATAAATTTTCTTTATTTTCACGGCTTCTTTTTCTTCGACTTCATAAGTCTTTTCATTTCTTCATTGCCATGTCCTGCCGGTTTCCACCTCAGGGGGGCAATCAAACTGTCAATTACGCATTCCAGACGGTTCGGCGCGCTGAGATGGTGAGAAGAAAGAAGAAGAAACACTCGGTTTTAATATGCAATTAAGTCGACAAAAGCGGTCGGCCGCCGTATTGTGCCCGGCACAATGAACACAGGTAGTTGTATGGACGCTAATGAAACCTATTACCCTAATTGGAGTGAAATGCCGCGCCCTTTGCAATGGCTACACCCAACGGGTAAAACTTATTTTTCTTAAATTAATATTAAAAAGCACCTGTATTATTTTAAACAACAAGAATCGTAATTAATAGAAAAGATAAATATATTTTAAATAATAGAAAGAACAGGTTGAATTAGATTTTTATATTGTTGTTCAAATGATGTAAAGGTCAATTACTTTTTTACTTTAGTTTGGGTTTAGATGTGCGTCTTTACTGCCAACCTAAGTATCGGCCGGTACTGTAGCTTTAGATGCATAGATATCGACGAAAATTTGATGAATTCCTTGTTTTTTGCAAATTGTTGATGGTAGGTACCACTGGGGAATATAAGTATACTACAAAAAAACTTTTAGAACAAAAGTTATAGCAAATTTTATTCTTAACAATATTGCTCTCTTGCACTTTTACTCCTAGATGCATAGATATTGAAAAAAATATGAAAATTTGGTAATCCTTGTTTTTTGCAAGTTGCTGATGGGAGGTACTACTGGGGAATCTAAGCATACTAGAAAAGAACTTTTAGAACAAAAGTTGTAGTAAATTTTATTCTTAACAATATTGCTCTCTTGTACTTTTACTCCTAGATGCATAGATATTGAGCAAAATACGAAAGTATGGAAATTTGATGAATCCTTGTATTTTGCAAGTTGTTGATGGTACCACTGGGGAATCTAAGCATATTACAAAAAAACTTTTAGAATAAATGTTGTAGCAAATTGTGTTCTTAACAATATTGCTCTCTTGCACTTTTACTCCTAGATGCATAAATATTGAGAAAAATACGAAAATATAGAAATTTGATGAATCCTTGTATTTTGCAAGTTGTTGATGGTACCACTGGGGAATCTAAGCATATTATAAAAAACTTTTAGAATAAATGTTGTAGGAAATTGTGTTCTTAACAATATTGCTCTCTTGCACTTTTACTCCTAGATGCATAAATATCGAGAAAAATAGGAAAATATGAAAATTTAATGAATTCCTTATTTTTTGCAAGATGTTGATGGTTGATGGTACCACTGGGGAATATAAGTATACTACAAAAAAACTTTTAGAACAAAAGTTATAGTAAATTTTATTCTTAACAATATTGCTCTCTTGCGCTTTTACTCCTAGATGCATAGATATTGAGAACAATATGAAAATTTGAGAATCCTTGTTTTTGCACTTTGCTGATGGTAGGTACCACTGAGGAATCTAAGCATACTACAAAAAAACGTTTAGAACAAA